TGGTTGGCGCGTGTGTGAGGCTAACTGGCCACTTCTACTGTATTTTCTGTTCTGTGGTGTTAATACACCAACTCATCAATTAGTTATTACCAATCTTATCTATTAATAGAATAATGTTGATTCCCCTAGTCTTTTAGCGCAATGAATAATGTCACTGAATAATCTACAAATTCTACATTTAATTGAAATTTAAAAGTAAATTTTTCATGCGATATTATTATATATTTACTATTTATTTTTGTGTTATTATCTTGTACTCTGATAATTTCTGAACCAAACCTTAATGATTTACCTATCATACTCCTACCTATCATACTGTCTTCAAAAAATCACGAAAATTCTATACAAATACAAGTGTTCCTACACAAATACACTATAACGACACCTCGATTCACTTTCTATTGGAACGTTCAGTTTCAGTTTGTTTCGGCTGCCAAACACGTTCATCAACTAGTAAACCTTAGGGGTATAGAAATACAAGAGGGTATAAAAAACCTTGAAAGATTAGCGAAGTAGACAGAATTAAAAAGAAAGATTAGAAAGATGTGCCTATGGCTGGAAGCCATACTGAAGTTTGAAGCATTACAAGCTACGGTTACTTGATAAAGAGTAAATGTTAGACTATAAAATTACCACAAAATATGTAATTTGCTAATCCTGAATCTTTTTTTTAGCGGGCGGGTCGACACGGCTTTCTATCTAGAAATTTGTTCATCCCAATAATAATCGCTTTTTTTTCTTTTAGTTAATACAGTTCCTCTTTTCGAGTTTGTTATGATAATTCAGTATTATGAAAAAACGTAATAAATTCTACAAAGCACTCTGTAATCAAACATAGTTTCGCAAAGTCTATACAGCTACAAAGCTAATTAAAAGTGATTTCAAAACTTATAACTAGAGGTAATTATAAAACTAGTTACAAAATCGGTTTTCTTTCTTAGAAAAATGAAATGATTCCATGATTCCACTGCTCTAACAGTGCTGATATTATAAGATTATCAATAATATCAAGTAATTTTTAATCGACTTCCGAAAAAGGAGGAGGTTCTGATTTCGAAAGTACGTTTTTTTTGTATATATGGTACGCGATAACTCCGGAAAGAGGGTACCTCAGAAGTGGTTCCATTTAAACTTGAAGAAAATATTCCACCTCAAGGGTGGCAAACTAGAGGATGAATGACTTTTGAGGTCGGTTTTTTAGTACTCTATACTGAGATTATTGTAGGTAATAAAATGTTAAATTTTGTATACACTATACTTATTATAACAAAGATCGAAACACTAAGAAAAATTCATACGATCCGGCTGGATTCGAACCAGCACCCTCAGGCAATCCGTACCAGATGATCTGCCAATTAAGCTACGGAACGAAGTAGCAAACCTTACAAATTTTTTTGTGTCTGTATACACTGTTTTCATCAATGTAACTGTACTTATGAGGAAATAACAATCTAACCGTATAGAAATCTGACGAAATGAAAATCTAACTTTGAAGTAAAATAGGGTTCGATGACTGGCATTGCCGATTTAGAGAGCAAAAGAAAAGAGCCAAGGCAAATGGGCGAATGTCGCCCCTAAGTGTAATAATATAGTATAATAAATAATAAGACAAGTATTGCAACTCTCGCCTGTTCGACGCATCAATGCCTACATGTCGCTTGGAGTACTTGGGTTTAAAAGTTTAGTGAAACAAAAACTTTACACTAAACGTTATTATACAGCTTCTGCCTACTTGGATGATAAGAATCCGTGGCAGTGACTAGTGACCCGTTTAACTTTAACAGCATGTTATTTGAAATGCAATATTGTAAATGATGAATGGGTACAACAAATATTTATTTGCGAATGCAGTTTCTTACTCATTCTTCTAAGAGTAATTTGCCTTAGAAATGAGCAGTCAAGTTTACCCAGTTGTTACTAGCTTTGATATACGAATGGATCATCGTGGATTAAAATTATTACTAACAAAAAATTTTGTTCTAAATTCCTCAGTTTAAGTTTGGCGTTAACTATAACATTCATTTATTGGCAGAAGTGCTATGTGCTTGTTCTAGCAGGACGTTTGAAATTCTAGAGGAGGTTATATTTTGTGGATTTTTAATGTAAAAGATTTTTAAAGTAAAGTAGTAAAAATAGTGGCATCTATCTATAAGTCTATGATAAGTTGGTATTTATTTTTTAAGAGTTGTTTCTAAAAATTCAAAATAAAATACTCTTTTTATGAATTAAAATAGCAAATTTCTTTAGACTTTCTCTACGACGATAAAGAGGTGTTCCTTATATCAAACGTACATCAATAATCAGTGATCGAAATTGAGGGAGTTAAAAGAGCCCAACAAAAGAATAATGGGACATTCCCTTCTACAAATTCAGGGATTTCTCGGAACTAATTATATTTCAATATACGTATTATTTATTGAAATTTGAGTATATTGGCGACAAATTACTATTTCCTATTCAATATTTGCTACAAATTACTGTCTCAATAACTAATTCCGTACTTGTGTTTCTACATGTACTTACGTCTTTAAATACCTTCGATATTTAAAAAATAAACATTTGACAACGTATATTTTGGAATGTTTAAAAAATAAACAGTGAAAATGAGATGTCGAAATGGGTATGCCCATACTAAGAAAACGTTTATACTTTAGGTAAATTAACTCAATTCCGATCACTGCTGTGACGCTACAAGAGAGAGTCCTTGTAGAGATCACGGGTAACACCTGATTCTGATGATGAAGACGACTACGTCCTTTCAAGTCAGTTAGTTAAGCATCCAAAACAGTAAGTATCAAATACGAGCTCTCAAAATATACAAACTTAAACTTAAACTTGACTAGGAGTCAGAACTAGAATAAGGACCAGAGAATAAAGTTTACGCCTGGCGATCGCGAGATATTCAACCAGTACATAAAATGCGGAATAATTTACATAGTGCACAGTTGAAACAAAAGATCTCATACTTCTTTGAGTGTCTTCTTGACATTGAAATTTTGAAATGTTAAATTAATAAATGATAAAAAATGTGAAATTAAACGAGAAATTAAATGTTTCATTATATTGCTTTACGTGGGTATATTGTGGTTCCAAGAAGATCTGGGAAAACGCTTCATGCTGTGGTATGGAAGTATACATGTTAGGTCGGAGCTAGGACTGGACTTTGTATTTGTTGCCTACCTATAGTAACAAATATAAAGTTCAGAAAAATGTTTGGTAAGTGCTAGGACTTTCTACAAGTTTCCCATATGCTTAAATCGTGGATGGTTCATGAATGGTTCGTGTTTCACTACCTCTCAAGAAAACGGATTTATTGAAGAAAATACTTTTTGAAAAATGGACAAAATTAAAATATATTCAAAATACAATATCTTCATGTTAATTAGAGCCACAATTAAAATAAATGGTGCATAAATACACCTGCTGTCTTTGTAAAATGTCCCTCAGGACCAATAAAATTATTTCCCTTTGCTGGCAATAGACGGAAAGAGAGATTACACGCAATGGCGTATTTATGCAGTAAGTATTTTGTCGTTTCTGAACAATACATCAATTAGCAATACATAAAGAGTAAAATTTTCAATACAGACTTTGTGTAGTTTGTTTATGTTCAAGAGGCTGTATACTTCGCAGAATAGCCTGGTAGGCCCAAATAGAACAAAAACGTTTGTCATGCCACTCGCGTAGTAGGTACTATTACTGAATAAAGGGCCAATTGTTCGCATGGCCGATTGTTTGCGTGCTTCACTTCACGATGAAGAGGTATCGTAATTTATTTTGATTTTAGGTAAATAAAACGTTCAGCACAAACATTTTAATATTATCTAAGACATATTTTTATATTAAATAATTAAAAACAAATAAAACAGTAATTGGAACTCAAAAAGAAAAGACCCTGGCTTAGCATAAATACTATATTATTACATTGTATTAGATTGTCATCTGTTAACTCATTGTTACCTCTTATAGGAAAACTAAGACCTACGAATGTCATATTAAATGCATAGGATTTAAGATTAAAATTTTGGATACTTCTAGGTTTATTTTTGAGATGTTATTTATGTCGATTTATTCATTAGGTAACGTACTTTCAATATCAGTTAAAAGCTTTTTCACATCTCTTATATTTATGGAATAATCGCCTGGGCACACTTAACGATTAAACCCTGTATACTTTAAGCAAGTAATAATATCGAGTTCGTAGGTTTTCGCGATTATTACACATAAGAAATGTAACTATTTTTCCGGATTTAAATCGCGTATATTTGTTTTTTCAAACAAACGGTCATTGTCACGGTTGACTGGTCAACCGTGACCACGGGACCTGCAAAGGGCCCGAAACGTTGATTTGTTTGAAAAACCAAATTTACTTTTTAACGATTTAAATCCGAAAAAATATTTTCATTGCCTATAAGTAATAATATTTAATCAACATGCTTTCTTATTATCGCACTATTTCAATGTTTACATCCCCCAGGTCAACTGTAAATCAAAGTGAACTCTACCACGATACGCTAACAATAATACTTTCACATGTTAGTAGGAACATTGGAGAGTATCGTTTTCACAAATGACGTATACAGTGGTACGAAGGGGTAATTGATCGCTGTTACCATTCTATTTGGCTCAAATTATAGAAAGGCCGAGATTCAGACTTCAGTCCTAGATCCTCAGTGTTGATGTGACGGATGACGGACGACAGGGTCAATGGCCGCAGCCGGGCTCTTGCTTCGCGCCGCGAGGCACCTGCGTGTACTCAATTCATTAACTCACTCTCATCCAACTGCTTATGAAGCTTAGCGGCGCAGGTCAACGCAATGTGTATCATGTTCTTTCTCATTTCGCCGCCACACTGCTCCGCTCGACCTCATTCAGCAGCTGGTTTTGTTACAGCCTCTCTGCCTTCCTTTCGGCACCTGAATCACCTTCGCAATTCTCTAATTAGTCCCAACACCATTCGCTTGCGCCTCGAATATTCCTTGAACAGTCTCCTCCACCTTATCCAGACGGTTTTCGCAAGAGCGCACCGTCAGTCTCCAAACAAATCCTATTGTAAGCCTTTCAGCTCTCCTTGGTCCGGGTTATCTCCAGTCGAATAGCACGGCGCTCGTACGCGGGTCTTATTTCGTCCGAATTTCCCTCCGTGTCGAATAACCGCAACAACGAGATTTAGTTACTTTCGGAAGGAGGGTTTCTGCACTTTGACAAGTGTTATCATGATTACACCAGGGCAACCTGCCTTTACAGTCCGGGCAAGCCTACGATGACGATACAGTGTTATTTTTTTGTAATGTCTCCGTAATCCTTATGAATCCTGTGGTATGATACACGTAGGGCATGTACGTTCGCGCTCTAGCGTTGATACAAATTTGCAATACACACTGCTCTTAGCCTCCTTATGGAATGCAATTATTTTATTAAAAAGTTAAGAGAGATCACGCCCTTGTCCCACAGGAGGGGTAGGCAGATAGAGAGGTTCACTTTTGCTTGCGATGAATTTCCGCGATGGAACACTGTATTTGTTTGAGTCGGGTCCAATAGTTCCAAAAGTATTTGGCGGTATTGAATGTATTTTTTCATGTGTCACAGTGGTCATTACCACTATAGTTAAATAAACACAAATATTTATTTAATTATATCCATTACCGATATAATAATTCTTAATCGTGTGTCGTGTTGCCATAATACAGTCTTTTTCTGTCAAGTGACAGGACGAACAAATCGTGTGGCTGGTCTTAAGCGACACGTCTGTAGCAGTTGCAATGCCACTCAGAGCTTTAAATCGCAAAGATCTGAGGGACACTGCCACTGCGCCCGTCACCCTGAGACATAAGTTGACAAGTCCCATGTGCCTGTAATTTCACCCGCACCTTTACGTTTCAAAACCGAAACACAGTAATGCTCACATTACTGCTTGGCGGCAGAAATAGGTGGCAGTACTTCCCTGGACGATTATCCATCAGTAGATGATCAGTAGTCACAAAAACACTCTAGAAACAAAAACAGTTATTTGCCCAAAAAAAGAACGATGCCCGCCATTAATAATTGTTTAAGACGCTTTTATTAAAGAGGAGAGTACAATTTTTCGTTAGAATAGCTAATTATATTATATTTACAACTATATGTATTTTTATAACTAGAATATAGAAAATACATGTACGTAAATTACATACACATAATCTAACGACGATATGTACGGACAACGGCACATCAGACTACACATTTTTGTTCGAAAATCGTCTCCAGTGCAACGGAACAAGATACGTCAATGTGTAGCTTGATGTGCTGGCATGTGTACATAATCTTGATTATGTACATATTATAACAATAATATTTAATAAAAATGTGCCTGTACTGTTAAATATTATTTATTTAACCGAAATAAAAACATTGGTAGTGTTCACAAATTATACACTTACTCGTTTCCTATTTGGACAATTATTATTAAGTTACGTTCTGTCGCTGTTCATAGCTGTCACAAAGAAGATGCTGTGTTGGCTCGACTATAGGTAATTCCCTGTTCTAAAGGTACCAAAGAAACGTCATTCACTGCGGGGCACTACCCAGAACACCTAGAGCAGAACAAATTTAGAAAAGTTCATTTATTTTCTCATCCAGCGCTAACTGGGCTATCAAGGTCATCAAAATAATAAATAAATTGCACTAATTGTAAGGGTATAGAAGATTTTCCCAAAGAAAATGATTAAATTTAAATACTTATACGTAGTTCTTGAAAACATACTCGTAAAAGTAAGCTTCAAATATATTATATAATATAATAAACAATAATAAACAAAATAGGTAGCATTTAATACATCGTGGCATTAAAACTTAAAAAAAAACAATAATAACTTTTGTTTGCTGTCTATTCTATAAAAGTTTTCTTCTTTCCTGACCTTTTATATTCTTTATACTTTTGTCGCCTCTATAGCCATCCCAGCAATTTTAAAATGTAACTAATTTTCCGCCATAATAATGTATTCGCTGCTATTAACACAAATTATCACAATTAATTTTTATTAGCTAAGAGACGAAAGAAATTGCTACTGTTTTTAATGGCGCCCGCTTTTTGCACCTGCGAGTAACTGCGCAGGTCCAAATGTCGTGCCCGTTATTGATATTAAACTTGGTTCTATTATCACCGAGCACATTTTTATTAATCCTAATAGGTTGTACAACGAAAGAGAGTACGTGTATCCAATGCCACAAAACTAAAAAAAAGTTTACATTGGTACCGATTTTTGTCAATGACGTAGTTAGAGGAGAATTCGCTCTGGGCCTTTTGGAGGGAAAAGTGTCGTTTTTATTTTGACTTTCAATTATTTTGTGAAATCTAGGTTAAAGTGGAATAGGATAGTGCTATTGTGCCTTAATCGTAGATTAAAACACGAAATTATACGAATCTCGAACTAAAATACCCGTATCTGCCCGTTCTAAGGAATTCCGAGCCAATCCAAGCACGCCGCCTCAAATTGCCTATCCCCTTTGTGGCGGCCATATTTACAGAAACATAATTAAACGAAGACATGGCTCAAAAGACTTAATAATGTACCAAGACTTGGCTGTATGGTGTAAAACCTTTGCCTTTTCCTTTATGGAAAGAAAAAAAAGTAGTTAGAGGAACGGTTTGAGGTTATATCAAACGAAATATTACGCAAACAAACGCAAATGGCAAAATAAGTTTTGAGTCCTTTTTATTAATAAAAGCTTTTATGAATAAATTATCATAACTAACGTAATCGACATATTTAGTGAAATTGAGTTATATATCTGGAATCAGCGAAAGAGATCTACAACCCGCTATAAGCGGTTTTTTATATCTTATTTAGTTTCAATTTTATTGTTAAGATAAACCAGCGTATTAGACATTTTTCAAAGAAAGAAATAGGTGCCTACATCCTGTCACTTTCTGCTCTCCTAGTCATAGTAATAACAAGGAGAGCAGAAACGATACGGAGCTAATGAAGACAATATAAGATTAAAAGAACACTTTTTCATAGACATAATCAATCACTTACCAGCATAAACAAAACTGACAACAAACAGTAAAACGAAAGCACTACAAATTAACCACTTCATTGTTCGAAAATAAACATGAAGCATGCGATCACAGCAACGACTATTGTTATACTATGAGATAAGCAGTGTGCAAGGTTAACACACTTGGGATGACTAGCGATTGCATGTTTATTACAAACTTAAACAGGTTCGCTGTGTATTAAAATTAGATTTTAAGACTGTCGTGGTTATTCAATTATCAATACGATACAACTTTTCATTCTTCGCCCAAAAATAACACGACTAACATACATCGTTTTGAGTAATTTGAAATTTGAAAACAAAAATTGTGTTCGTTTAAAGTATTATTTAATTATCAGAATATGGATAACACTAGATGTTGTTGAACGCGTTACTATAGTATAGGTAATAATTTCTACAAGTCTACGTACGATGACATTTAGTTTTTAATATGAATAATTTGAACTATGATTCCTCTCTAAGGTATTTGTGTAAAGTAAATATTATAAATATTATGACTCTAAGGTATTTCTAAAGCTAACTGTAGTTGCTGGCTTTTTAAAATACTACACTATGTAAAATAACAAACAGTACCACAGTACAGAGTACGAAAAAAACCGACTTAAAAAGTCATTCATCCTCTAGTTTGCCACCCTTTAGCGGTGGAATATTTTCTTCAAATTTAAATTGGACCACATCTGAGGTACCCACTTTCCAACAAAAAAAAACGCACAATCGAATTTAGAACCTCCTTATTTTTTTGAAGTCGGTTAAAAATAGTCTTTGGAAGATGTCACCGGTGTGTTTCATTTTCCTTAAATGGCGCTGCGGACAGGATTCGAAGTTTCATTTTACAAGTGAATTTTCTAATATTGTGTTTATATTGTAATATGTTCCAAACAAACAATCAACAACAGCGGAAAAATCTTTAGGTGCTATTCTCACTAAAGTATGATTATGTTGGTTAACACGGTACCGCTTATCAGCATCCGTTTTCCTTAATATTGTTTGTTTTCGTTTTATTTATACATTTACAACGAATTCGGGGATTTCTTTCCTTTAGCATACAATATAATGATTGCATTTGTTTTGATCTGTCGTAGGTAACAATGTTAGTTAAATTTTACGATAACGGAATTTCTTATCGAGGCTATTATAGAGTACATAGGTCAAATTATGTTATTATATTAAGTAGCTTTAATAAAAATAAACAGAGCACCTGTACTTACATACCTCTAAGTAGTGAGAGTTCTTAAAACACCATTATCCTCTGCTTGCCTTAAGAAATTGATTAATTGAGGCATGGCATAAAACATTAATCTACATCAACAACATTTTCACTTACTTTTGTCCAAAAGTAAGTAAAACAAATGGAACGCCTGATCAAATTGTATCTGACGATCTAGCCATCGAATTTCCTTGTCCATATAGTATTTTACTAGAAATACTGTTTTTTTTTATTAATGTTAAAGTAACGGTACGAACTAGTTGTGCTCCTGGTGGTAAGTGACACGCCTGTCCTTGGCGGTTGTAGTGCCACTCAGAGCTTTAAATTGCAAAGATCTGAGGAGCACTACCACTGTGCCCGTGTCGCCGTGAGACAAGTTCCATGTGGATTTCACCGTCACCAAAATCGTAACGCAAAAATACTCACATTACTGCTTATCGGCAGAAATAGGTTTTGTGGCAGTAAGATGAACTCTTTCACTAGGATGTCTAATTAGAGTCTCTTTGACTTACAGTTACCATTCCGAATTTAAATATTCCTGACGTAACGCCTGACGATTGCAAAAAAAGTCCGGACGTTTTAGTAACAAAATAAAGTCGAAATTGTCTCATATGGTATCGAAGGTGGAGGGTATATGTGCATATTATCGTGATCTCGTCCGTTCTTTCCTCGAACCTGTAAGATGTGGAATGATCTTCCTCCTGAAGTATTTACTTTGCGCTATGACATGGAATTCTTCAAAAAGCGTGTTTACGGGGCTCTCAAAGGCTGGCAACG